GAAGCATAGAGCAACAAAGGCATTCAAAGCCCTAGAAAACGTGATTTATGAGAAAAGGTTGGAAGAACTGAGGTTATTTACTCCGGAGAGGAGAAAACTAAGGGGGATTGATAACAGCTTTCAAGTACACAAATCACTGTTAAAGAGACAATGGTTACAAATTGTTCTCTGAGTTCATAGTAGACAGGATGAAAAAAGGGCTGAGATTGCAAAACGGTGTTTTTAGGTTAGATATTAGGAAGAACATTCTATCTATGAGGGTTGTTAAATACTAGAATAGATTGCAGAGAGGCTTTGGAATTTCCATTGCTGGTATTTTAAAGTGCGGGTTATACTCATATTTGTTCAGAATAGTTTAGAGAGGAGTGTTTCTGCACTGAGAAGGGATTTTGATAAGATGACCTCTTGAAGTCCCTTCTAGTCCTATTTTTTTTCTATGATTTTTATTCAGTAAAGAAGCTAAGTTCATGTTTGATTTTAAGCATAAGCCTTATTGACTTTAAATTGAAGGTTAAATGCATCTGAGTTGTACCATATGCTCTACAGCCTTCTTCATCTGTGATAAGGACATGCAGGGATTATAACTTGTACTGTTTCATCTTGCTGCTGAATAACTTCTATACAGCTGAGTGGAATTCAGTTGAATCAATGGTATGTTGGGACTTGTACTCACTAAAGGTTTGTCCCTTTGGATCCTGACAGTCAGGCACATCAGTAAACAAACTGTGGATTCTGTTGTTGGAAAGTGACTATTATTTGCTGGGAGACTTCTGCCAATTTGTAGATGACACCAAGTTGGGTGGAGTTTCAGATACTCTGGAGAGAAGAGCTAGGATCCAGAATGACCCGAATTGGCTGGAAAAATGGTCCATAATCAACCAGATGAAATTCAGCAAGGATGAGTGAAAGTTCCTTCACTTGGGACAGAATAATTGTCTACATACAGACAGACTGGGGAATGAGTAGTTAGGCTGTAGTACTGCAGAAAAGGACCTGGGGTTACAATGGGCCATAAACTGAATATGAGCCAACAGTATGTTTTTGCTGCAAAGCAAAGCAAAGCAAAGCAAAGCAAAGCAAAGCAAAGCAAAGTGAATACTATGTTGTATCACCAGGAGTATCACTTGCAAATCAAGCGAAGTGATTCTTCTGCTCTATTCAACACCATTAAAGCCTCACCTGGAGCATCATGTCCAGTTTTGGGCCCCGAGCTTCAAGAAGGATGTAGACAGTTTGGAAATAGTCCAGTGCAGAGCAAAAAAACCAAACAATGATTTCCTAAAATGTAGAAAGGGCATTTGAATTCTTATAGCCATTTGAGGAACCTAACAGAGCAGTACACCTTGCCCAACTGTTTATTGACTTCCCAAGTCACAAATCACCTGCTGATTGACCTTTCTAATACTTAAAAACTCCAACAGAATGATGGTGCCTCTCTCACTTCAGAAGTGGCAATTGCTTGTAGCTACATCTCCTCACCTAGTAATTGATTTAATTCCATGGAACAGCTACCTTCATATTGTTTCACAGACATGTAAGCAACTCCTTCATGAGCGTAGGATTACAAGAGAATATATTTTTCCTTTTCACTGTTATGAAAAAAGTCTGATTTCCCTCTCTCTGCTGCCAGGTGGGAATATTTGTTACTTGTCTATTTGTAAAATTTTCCTTTTCTGAGTTAAAGAAAATTGTAGTGTAAGAGAGAGTGTAATCCTATGCAGGCAATGCAGATGTTTACCCAGAAAAGAAGGGTGAAAAAGTATTTGTTGTTATGCTATCAAATCTTGGGCAATTGGAAGTATATATAGCTTGATTCTCATATAGGGTAGATTCATGAAAATGGAATAGGCAAGAATGAAGAAATATGATGAACATTGATGGGCCTTTTTACCCTACGGCAAGTAAAATGGTTGGACAAGGTTTAAGCACAAATGGTTTAGTGCAGGGCTGGTCAACCTGTGGCATGGGCAGTCTCTGGGAGTGGCATGAGGCAGATTGAGGAGAGAACTCAGCAGCAGATAAAACAGTAAGCTGAAAACAGAGCAGCAGATTGGCAGGAAGCATAAAGCAGGGAGAAGAAAGCTGAGCAGCCTGTTGAGCAGGGGAATGGGATCAGAGTGGCACTCGGGGATGGGGCAGGGTTTTCCTTGTGGCATGCCTTGGCCCCCGTTGGTTTCGTACACCCTATTAGATATGCAAAATGATTTTAGAAACACTGCAGATGAGTCTCCTGCCTACCTTAGCAGTGTCTTAAGCCATGTCAGTTGTAATGCTTACGGAAACATTGCATTATGAGGGATTATGTAAGGCCTTCAGTACCCTACAGACAGTTGCAGGACTAGCTGAACTGTTTCAAGTTGTCTGTACCTGCACTGTCAGTAAAACAGTTCATGCTGAAATCATATTTCCTGATGAAACATGATCTGCCTGGTATTTAATTCCTTCGTAAACCCTTCAGAGTATTCTTTTGTTTGTATGTAAAGTGTTTTTAAGGGGGAGCAAATGATACTTGGCAAAGCAAATCGCTAGTATAGACAACACCATTGTGACAATTTAAATGCTTCCAAATGGATAGTGGCCTAGTTCCAGCAAGGGAGATTATATGAAATGAGAAAAGATATTATATTTGTTTCTCTTGGTTTTTCTTTCCATCTCTGTTCTTCCTTGTTTCCAGCAAACCCATACTTCTCCCCCACTTCCTCAACAACTCCCTCTAGTCCTGCTGGTGACCCAAAGATTAGCAGTCCTGTGACTGACCCCAAGTCCGATCAGGGAGACTCACATATTAAACACAGGACAGAATGTAGTTCTGGGTGGTGCCCAGCTCTAAATCCATCGGTGTGTTTCAAAAGTGAGGGGGAAGAAATTATCTTGAGGAAATATATTAGGAGTGTTAGGAAAATAGGTGGGAGAAATGCCTAAAGGCAGAAATGCTTCTGCTTTAACCCTGGAGTTTCTTTTGGCCCAGAAATGAGTGTTTATGTTCTCAACTTGTGGATGTGTTTTAAAATTCCAAGTTTGCTTGTTTTACAATAGAAAAGAGATCAAGAGTTTCCTATCTTTAGAGCTGAAGAGTGATTCCTTTCAGAATTATGGCAGCTTTAAAACACAAAGTCAATACAAGTGAATGAAGCCTGGCAACTGGCGGGAGAGGAGGGAGGGCTTGTTTGCTTCCTAAAAGATTTTTGATTTTTCACAGTCACTGCCAACAGTGGTAAGCTTATTTTTTTCCCCACAGAATGAAGTTCCATGACTATGTATGGAAAATTACTGTTGAATCAAGCAATTGGTCAGGAAAAGAGGCCTAACTGTATTGCTTAGTCACTGGTAGTATACTATTTACTGTGGTCACCCAGTTGAAAGCCATTACTGCTTTAGGGAAAATAAGCTGCTTCCTCTCAAAGCAAGTGGAACAAATGTGAATTTTGTGAAAAATGAATTATGAAGCGTGAAGTTCTTAAGAGGTGAAGGACTACCTGATGGGAAAGCTTCCATTCAAGCAGCACAAGGCTCTCATTCACTGGCTAACATTTTTCAATACCACCAGAGGGTGCACTAGGACAGCTAACTGAACCTCTTGCCATTGTCTTTTCTGTGATCTGCCTTGCTAGAGGATCAGGTTCAGGAGTGATTTTACTAGTGAATTTGAGTATGCATGTAAGTCAGGGGTGTCAAACTCAGCTGGGGCCCTGGGCCCAATCTGGACCCACAGAGTTTCTTGTGGGCTGGATCCAACCCTGGGGCACAAGGGCTGCCGCTGTGGCCACCATGGCAGCGGCAGAGTCCCAGGGTCTGGCAGGGGTGGAGGCAGCAGGAGTGTGGGGTTCGGTGGCAGAGAGACAATCTCGCTGCTGATGGCCATGCTCAACAGGGTCAAAAGGTCCAACTTCTGGTATCCTCCAATAGCCCAGTAGGCTGTATGTTTGACACCCCCGATGTAAGCAAATGTTTAAGGGCACTGGATGAATGAAAACTATTGCAGGCAGGCAGAGTACAAGCATCATCTGAACTTCTCTGCTAGTGCAACTTGCTCGCCATTTACAACTTCCTTTCTGTTCCAGGCCTAAACTACTCCAGACAGAGACTAATGGTTATTCCAAATGTAGAGCACTTTGTGACATGCGCAGGTTTTTCTTCTTAGACACCACCTAATTTTGATACTGAATATTGCATAAGCTAGGAACAGGCATTTTATTTGTCTCTGGACAAGTTGTGCCTGCTTGTCACAGAACAGAAATGTCCTGGGATTGGTGTGGGTTTAGTGAGAGTCTGAATGCACTGCCACTTTTCTGTCATTGATTCAGGATTTGTCCCAGGATAAAAAGTTTTATCTTGGAAACAAATGCGATGTCTGTTTGTAGCCACGATGAAGTGACTATATTTTTATTCTGTAATTTTTTTTTATGTTCTATAAAAAATCCTTCCATTATTTTGCTTGTTGTCAGACACTTTATTGTCAATCACTATATTGCCAATTGCTCACATCCTTCCTTTGTCTTTCCCTCCATTTTCCTCTGCCAGGCTTGAACTCTACAGAAAAGTGCCAAACCTGCGAATCCTGGCCTGTGGTGGAGATGGAACGGTAGGTCTTCTGCACCGAAATTAAGCTTGTATTCTTATGCTTCTCTTATGACAGCTTTAGAAAGGGGTGCATGTCATGTCAAACTCAGCAATTTTCTCTACAAATTCAGCAAAGATGGACAAAAAGTCCCTTCCAGGAAGGTCTCTGTCCAGTATCTATTTGAAGGAAAAACTAGCAGTTAAAGTGTTTCAACTTCATCAAATAAGTCAAATTTTGGACTTTTTATGCATGAGCATGTGATGCAGAGCATAAGAGAGCATTCTTCTTTAAAATGTGTTTACAACTAAAACATATTCAGCTTTCCAGGCTCTTCTCAGTGTTAGATCACCTTTTTGATTATTATTTGTATTCAAGTGCTGAAGACGCAGTAGGTCAGGTGTGTGACTGGGAGACAGGAGACCTGGTCTCTATTCCACCTCTTCTTTTGGTGTCCTCTGTTACCATAGTCAGGTGTTATGGGCTCCTCTGTCCCTTGCTTTCCCCTGGTTCATGTGTAAAGTGTTTTGAGATGTCTACAATAAAACGAAATATGATCCAGTGGTCAGAGTATTACTATGGGATTTGGAAAACCCAGGCATAATTTCCTGCTCTGCTACTGACTTCCTGTGTATCCTTGGAAGTCATCTAGGATCCAGTTTTTAGTGGGCTAAAGTATTTTAAGTTGCAGATGGACAACTGCTTGAATTTTCACAAAGTGTCCATTCACCTTACTCAGAACCAATAGGAGTGAAGTGCCTAGGAGCAGTTGAAAATCCTACTTGCATCTTTCAGTGCCTAGTTACTTTAAAAAAAATGTCCCTTAGTCACTGCATGGCCCAGCTGAAAAATGTTGATATTAGTGCTTTTGTACCACCCACAGTTTTCGTGGAATTAAATTCCTTCAGTTTCTGAGGTGCCCAGTTATTGTGCTAAGGCAGCCTTATAAAAACCTAAAACAAACAGGTATTTGGAAGCTAAGCAATGGTCTTTATTTGTGAGAGCACACAGATTTTTTCTTCTTCAGAACTGGCTTTTTCCAACATTGCATATGCTTTGTCCCCAAGACAGATGGAATGAATCTAGTCCCAACTGGGACTGATCCAGAACCCCCAGCTGGATGGAATCAGGGCACTGGCTGGGTCATCTCAAGGTCTTCAGGAAGAGGGCCTTGCCCACACAGTCCTTAGAAACTGAGGCTAGACAACATCTCCTGACCTTCCTGGATCCCTGCTAACCTGTTTGCCTACTTGTTCCAACCTAGATCTCACCTGAACCTTGCCTAGCCTAACCTTTGCCTTGATCCTTGCCTAGCCTGAACTCACACTCACTCCTGCTTGGATCCTTGCTTAGTACCTGCAGCCTGTCTCTGCTCCAACAACCCTGTTTGCCTGTTTCTGTCCTGGATTTCCAAGTTCCTGTCCTGCCTGTCCTTGAGTGGTCCTGTCCCTGGCCTGGGCTTTTCAGTACAACCATCAGCTTGCCTTGACTTTGATTTTGTCATGACCCCTAGCTTGATGCCTTGGACTGATGCCTGGCTTGATCTCGGCACTCTAGAGTAACCCCTATTCTGGCAAACTCCTTTTGGACTCACTGCCCATGCTCTGGTCCTTCCTAACACCAGTGTTTGACGTCATACCTCCCCTTTAGAGACAGTTACCCAGGATCGGGTACAATCCCAATAACATCTCATATAGGTGTAGGTCCCACTCTGAAAACTTAGCTCCCCATTTGAAACATCCTATCACTGGGTTTTTATTCTGCCTGAGATGCCTGCAGGGGTTTAGGAAAGGATTATCTAAGGTACCTATGGGAATTCAGTACCTGTGACAAGAGCAGCCCCCAAGGATGACTATAATGCCCCCTTAGTGGCCAAATTACCTGTTTCCCTTGACCCTTCAGGGTAACTTCCTCACTGTCCTGGCCTGCCATACTTTGATGGAATTTGTATTTTACATTGGGAGGCTGTTCCTCAAAGTCCCTGAGTACGTTTCCCCTGGATCCACATGTGTCCTCAGGCACTAACTTGCCTTAGGGGTGTTAAACATGGCCTCCAGCTGCTCTCACAGCCATACCCATGCCTTGCAGGTGTCACTGTCATTATTTTTCATGGGACTTTCCAGCCCTGTCCACACTTTCTGCCCCCCTGGCACTAATCACTTTGTCCAAGCCTCAGCCTTCTTCCAGCCTTGACCCCTTTTCTTTTGCTGGAGTCCTCAGCCCTGGCCCACTGTCTCAGGCTTTGGCTCCCTGGCCCCAGTCCCACTGTGTCCCTGCCCTATGCAGTACTTAACACAGAGTGCCCCCGTAGCACCCTGCTGTGTGGCCTTCAAACCTCTCCCACAGCCACAACTGCGTCCTCCAGTTAACACAACTCTAAAGACAGCTACATAACACAAGACCCATTTAACTTTCTGAGGCCAACAGAGCTCCTTCCTCTTGCAGGGTCAGGGCCAGTCTAAGCCTCTAGCCTCAGGTTCAGGCCTATATGACATCTTTCTCCTCCCCTTCTGGTCACTTGACTTAGCCCTTCTGGTAAGGTGCTGCTAATTATGTCCAATCAGCAGCCTCACCTGCTCCTTTCCTGCAGGCTGAGCCCTATGGCCCTTTCCAAGTTGAGCCTGCTGCCCTTTCAGCTAGGCTCCCTGCTAGCTACACTTGCTGTGCTAGCTCTGTCTGGCTCGCCCACCAGCACTCTGCACTTTGCAGCCTTTTCCCCTATAAGCTGCACTACCCTATACAGCTGCAGGTTCCTATACTTCCCTATGCCCCTATACAGTTTGCTTACTGTAATCCTGCTCCTGCTTTCTCCCAGTAGCAGGGGTAGGTGCCCCCTGCTACAGTACCCAACTCTCCTTCCATTTCTAAAGAGTTGGATGTCTGGCCTTTTTGGGATCCCAGCCTTGGTGAATATCAATATTAATAGAGAAGAAAATAAAGAATCGATTAGGGTTCTGTTATATGATGCAAAAGGGCATCTACAGTGATTAAGTGGGGAGTATTCCTTCAAGAACTGACAGGACATCCTTTCAGCAGAGGATATAGCTGCAGCAGTGAAAATAGATAACCTTCCAATCTGTTGAAGAAAGCAGATGCACTCTATCATCCAAGGGAGCTGAAGCTAATAGGAGATCACTGAGATCCAGTGAATTTTAATATCAAAATTAGTGAAGCTCCATTGGCTTTTATCAAACCTTATTTTCCCTTTCGGTTCACCATGCATGCAATAGGGGGCAGCATCTTCTTATTAGTATGAAGAGCACTAGACAATTATTTTAGCTGCTGTTAAGACTGACCACATTAATATCTAGTTCCCAAAGTCATTATATTTAGAAATGAAGAATCTTGCTCAGATGGACTTAGTGAATATTCAATGAGACCAAATATTACTGTACATTGAAATGAAACAGAACACAGTAACTGTTCCACTATTACTGAGGATAAATGGAAGGTTGTGATTTCCAGGGCTGTCACCAGTATTCAGTTCACAAAAAAATGATGAACTCTTCCCTCTTTGACCCTAACACTATTGTTAGATATATAGAAACAGGGTCAAATTAAATAACAAGGCTTACCATTTGCATTTGTTTATGTAACATTTCAAAGTAATTTCCAAATTTAGTTAATATTAGAATCTGCCCTTTAGAAATGGGGAGACTGACATCCAGGATGGTGACCTTTCTGGTTGCTTATAGTAAGTCTAGGGCAAAGTTATGGCTAGAATCAGAGTGGGGAATGATTTCCCACTAATTATTTCAGTGGGGCTGTGATTTAAGCACAAGGTCTCAATCTCTTAACATCTAGGGCCAGATGCAGATTGGTTCTGTAGCCACCTACGCTTAAGTTCTGGAACACCTAAAACTCAAATATCTTGTCCCAAGAGGGCAATTCAGCTTGATAAGGCTTAGGTGTCTAGGTAGCCTGAAGGCATGTGGAGGTGGTGATGAACTCTATGTATTTTATATTAGGCAGTCATTGTTTAAAAAATTAAAACAGCCCTGGCAGGACAGAACAAGAAAGCAAGACTGCACCTTTTTAGGCTGGCACTGTAACCACCAGGCCACAAAACCATGATCTTTCTTGCTTGTTATTTTGGTGTTATGACATTGGTACTCATGGTTGCCCAGGGGCAAATCAGGAGGGGTAAGAACACCCCCATCCAGATTATTATCCAAGAGCTCTTAAGAAAAGGGAATTGTGAATTCAGATCCCCTCAAAATAAGGAGGTCCTATATAACACAGGCCTATACCTGCCATTTCCTGGTTGAGTGACCTACCTGCTAAACAAAAGGTGGGCACCTCTATCACTGGCATTTTTAGCTAAATTCACTGTCTGTTAGGAATACTCTCTGATAAATGAGGCCTCTCTGGTGGGGTTTTGTACAGAGTTTTGGTGCCTCTTAAGCATCACTATATATCACAGTGGAGCATAGATGGGACCCAGGCACTCCAATTGGATCACTTCTGATTATATGCAGAAACCTTAGTGTAACCAGTTAGGGAACTTGCCTAGTGATTTAAGGCACTGAATGTATTTTGTGACTGCTGGCACAGGCCCAATTTGAATAGGTTTTTGGGAATTAGGTAGCTAAATTCCACCTAGATCCCAGTGTGAACTTAGCCCTTAGGCACTTTTGAAAATCCTACTAGGAACCTATCTGCATCCTTAGGACCTAAGTACCTTTAAAAGCCTGGTCTTAGATTACTGTGCCTCCCATAAGGCTCTACAATGTGAAATAGAAGTTATACAAGTATAAACACAAGGTGAAATGAGCTCAGATATGCTCATTTTTTGCATCTTCTGTTGATCTCACATCTACACAATGAGTATACATTCCATTTCTCTATTTCTTTCTCTCTTACTATTTAATTCCTGCTCATTTCATTTATTCACCTTTCTTTTTCTCTGTTTTGCAGGTGGGTTGGATCCTCTCCATCCTAGATGAGTTGCAGCTCAACCCTCAGCCTCCTGTTGCTGTCCTTCCGCTTGGTACAGGGAATGACCTTGCTCGCACCCTCAGTTGGGGTGGGGTAAGCACTGACCCTGACACTCTTATCCAAAACTTAATAGCTATCTAGTCTAGTTCTTTGTTAAGGTGGACTTTCTTCTGGCTGCAGTGGGAGTGTGGAGGAAGAGATGCATCTAAGGTGCATTTCAGATAAGCACAAACATCCAATTGCATTTCCACTCTTATGCCATGTATAGAATGATTCCAGGTACAAGCAAAGACACTTCAAGTTCAGATTAATGTGGGAGCTCAATTCTAGCACTTCTGGTTTTGTTTACAGTATGTGATGAAATGAGATTCAAGGTACATCTACTCAGATAATTATTGCATACCTGAACACTTACCCTGCAAAAGAGCTGTGTACCATTTCAGAAGCTGCATGGATTTTGCTCAACCTTACCTTTGATGGATGTTGTTTTGGATTTAGAGTCTTGCTTGCCACATTCAAGCCTGAAAACTGTATAGTCAGCTCTGGTGAAACCATGAGTTGTGGTCCAGTTTGGACCTGCAATCATGAAATTGTCCCTACATCTCTGCAGAGGGAGAGGGTTTATATGAAACTTGAACTGTGCCCTGAAGGTTTTGTCCCAAAATGAGGACTATATTTAAAATATGTGATGAAACCTGGCATGATTCTCAGAAACTCTATGGAGCCATTAATATATTTTTACAGTGTACAGTGTCTAGTGCAATGTAAACCTGATACCTGTGGCTTGGACTTCCAGGTGCTAGTAGAACACAAATGCTAAATACATTTGTTGTAAGAAAGTTTTGTCTAACTTTGAAGTCAAATTGCAATGAGTCTACTGGATTGCAAAAAAGTATTAAGTAGCATAAGTTAAACTGCATAGGTACTGGGAGAGTGGCATTGGAGGCAATGCTTGTTACCACTTCATTACAACTGCTTCCATTGAAATTGCTGTGTTATTTCATTGTAAATATGCAAATCAGTTGTGTTACTGTTCATGTTTTAAATTTCTATAGTGCCTTAATGTCTTGTTTTTAAGATGTATGATTTTTTGTAAAAAGAGGGGATTGATAGGGCCAAGATTTTAATCCGTTTTACCTGGTCAATCATTAAGTGACTTGCACATATTACTAAGGAAATGGAAGCTCTCTTGAAGCTTCCTTGCAGATCTTTATACAGCACAACGTAGAACAGTTCTATTATAATTAACACTGTAATAGAACAGATCTTTTAAAATTAACATTGACATGGTACATTTACCTTCTGTTTTCATACAGTAGAAAGACTTCTCTCTTAAGGCATGTAGAGCCACTTTAGTCAGGATAAAAGACTCATAAAGTCTCCAGATCTTCATGTCTTTTGTGGTCGTGCAGAAAGATTTGAACCTTGCCAAATGGGGTCAGTAGGACTGGGGAACTGCAGAAGAAAGCAGGACATACAATGTTAGGGATATCCACTACTTCTCTCTTATGCCTCTTTGGCCTTGCTGTACTTGTTAGACTGGAACTCATTACAGTAGTTTGCTGACTTTGCCACTGGTTTCATAAACAGCAGACCATGTTTATGAAAATTTCAGGCAGGCTTGAATTAGCTTTCGTGTAGATTCTCTCCCTTTACACAAGTCTGGCCCGCCAAGGTCACTGGTATCTGGGAAAGGTAATTACCATGATTTATTTTGGATGCCCATTCCTAGTCCCTTGGTGACCCTTGTTCTGCTTCTAGGGTTACACGGATGAGCCAGTCTCAAAGATTCTCTGTCATGTGGAAGATGGCACCATTGTCCAGCTGGACCGCTGGAACCTCCAGGTGGAACGAAATCCTGATTTGCCCCAGGACGAACTTGAGGATGGGGCACGAAAGGTTAGAGCTGCCCCTTCAGTGGGGAGAGAGAGAGAGAAAGAGAGAGAGAGGGAGAGAGTCATAAGGATGCAAACTGGGATCTGTTAGCTTCAGAAAAGCATGTCAATAGGGAATGCTAACACCTTTTCCTTTTCTGCTCTCATTTCCTGCTACTTCAAGGATATTGACGTTCATGAAATTTGCAGCATGCTGCCCATTAACAGTCCTTCATAATTCTCAGTTTTTGAGGATTATTGCTAGGAACAAAGAGCCAGCAAAAATCTCCGGTGTTTCATTTGCAAGATCATTGCTTCTCCTTATCTTTTAATCATGACAAGAAGAGGACTAGCCCTGAGATTCAGTCCAAAATTAAATGTAAATCTATATGGTATGACTGTGTTCCTTGGCCTGCTGCTTGTGAATACCACCTGTGCATCTCATCTCAGCAAGCTGTTATGTTTCAGTTGTTGGTCTTTGTATTTTAGGGCTATGTTCCCTTTTCTTCTGTGGGCTCACATTATATCATTGGCCCTCCCACGTTTAGTTTGCTGAGTCAGAAGATGAGACAAATCCTTGCCACAGTTGTTTTCTCCCATGTTAATATGTTTTAATCTGCAGTTACATTGAAGTGGGGTGATCATCAGAAAAGTAAAATGCCCCCTTGGTCCTGACTATATACATCCCTTCAGCCTCTTCTGAGTTATACTTTCTGGTTTACTTACTGAGTTTCAGTGTTTTCCTCTTGTCAGCTGAGTAGAAGCAGTATATTTGTGAAAAGAGCAGATGTGCTCTATTTTGCTTTATCTGTCATCAGCGGAGTTACAGCAGAGTTTTGAGTCCAGAATCTTTATTGTTGCTGGTGATGTATAAGGCAGAAAGAGTACAGCTTGGTTTTTGTGTGCCCTGCTGAGCTTGTAGTGCCAGCAATTAGGAAAATCTTTGTTTTGAAACGTTAAGCGGAGCAGCTTTATTGGAAATCTCTGAAAGAATAAATAAGGAACCCTGTGATGTCTTTTTTATGTAACCATAAAGCAAAGTAGATATATTTGGGTGCTTTCATTTTTGCATTTGATCATTTTCAGGAAGCTGTTTCCACTCCAGTCCTCACAACAAATCCATGTATAAACTTCCCCTCCTTTCTCCCTTCTCTTCTCTCCTTCTGTAGTTTTTCAATTCTTGCTAGATACGGAATTACATGTGTGGAATACTCGGTCTTCCTTTTATACTGCATTCCGATGTTTCATTTGTCTTATTTTTGGTCTTTGATTGCAGCTTCCACTCAGTGTATTCAATAATTACTTCAGCCTTGGATTTGATGCACATGTCACGCTGGAGTTCCATGAATCTCGAGGTGAGAGGAACTTTTAATACACTTAACCCTGGGAGCATGGGGACAGATAAATGGTGAAGTAGTAGGAATGGTTTCAGTGATTGTCACAATAGCTGGAAAGATTGAGATTCGTTGGAGAAAAAATGGGTTAAAAGGAGAGATCTTGGGAGTCTGCAGGCCCATGAATGAAATATTAAGGAAAAATGTAAATGTTAGGAGAAGCTTATGTTGATCCAGAACTAGGGCATTTGGGTGAAAATAAGGAAACAGCACAAAGGAGAAAAAAAAGAATATACACTGGGGGAGGGGAGGGGAGCAATATAGTCATGTCCACAAAAGAACTGGACCGATACTTATGAAAGATGATGATGTAATATAATTCGGTTGATTTAAACATAGGTATATGCCGATCCTAAGAATATGAATGAGTCTTTATAATAACCCACACACCTGGATTTTTAGCTTTTGGTCTGTTATAGCATTTTATTTGTCTTTGTTACTGCTGAAGATAGTATCACACTATAAATTTTTATGAAATTCCTAATTTGGTTAAACAATCAAGCATTGGTCTGATGTTCAGTAGCCTGTGGGAATGACTGAGGTGAGCATGTTTACATCATCAGACCTGTTGTTCACTTTTCCTTATTCAGCATTTGGGTGATTTAGCCGTGTGATTTTTTTGAATGACATTATCACTTGTCCTCATTTTTACATTATCACAACACCATTTAAAAATAGAAAAGATAGGTGGGACCCTAACGCTGTGCTAAATAAAGAACTGGATGCATGATGGAATGAGCTAATGCATATTTTATAATGCTTAAGACTGCTGCTAGCTTTAGGAATGATAATGAAGGGCCACAGAAGGGCACAGGAATGAAATGATGATAGCAGTGTGCATTTTTTTTATGAATGTGCACCAGCATACATTCCTAATGTGGGTATGAATATGGAGCATATACGAGTTTCATGGCTGCTTTCTCGCTTAGTGGAGGCATTACTCAGTGAAATTGTAGAGCCCTATAAAGAATGAACATTATTTCAGATATGCCATTGCTTTAAAAATGTACATGGGAGAGAATATTTTGGCAGAGCAAGCTCTGTGTGTGTGTGGGTGGCTATGTATGGCTGCAGAAGCTTGCCTAGCACCAGACTCTGCTATTTCAGACTTTGTATGGTTACTTCCTTATTTCCCCGAATGCTAAAATATACAAGATGAATCTTGTCTCTTAAAAGGGAGAAGGGCTTCAAGTTTTGGTTTTGGTACCATCAGTATGTATGCATCTTCCTGTGTGTATGTATGTCTTTATTCTTAGTTTTAGAAATAAGAAAATGGCTTCAATACTGGTCCCATTTGCTGTAATTCCAGAGTAATTGTGCTGAAGTTCACTGGTTTCACGAAAGCAGAATGTGGTCCAATAAGTTGAATGTGTACATGGTGTTCTATATGTGGAGCTATTGTAATAGTATAAAAAATATCAAAAAGCAAATAACTTGGTCAAACAGATTTACTTGAACTCTCCTAACCTATTTAGTATGTCATATTAAAAGGGTTTAGATTCTTTCCTAAGTTAGCTTAGTGTTTCCATTTTGTTGGAATAGGTAGTGAGTTGTCTCAAATATTACTCTTGTTGAATGTTGGCTTTTCAATGACAGCTTCTCCACTTATGTGGCCAGGCATTCATGTGAGGCTTGAATGAACCATTAGGTTCAGACCTGAATATAGGGTGAAATGTAGCTATGCTGCTCCAGGAAGAGTGCTGGGGAGGAGTTCTGCCTCAAGGTCACAATTCCTCCCTTATTCCCATTTAGCTCTAGGAAGAAATACCTCCCCTCATCTCTATTTGGAGTGATACCTCCAGGGATACTGCCTCACCCCTTGTCCTTGTGTCTGGCTAGCTCTGTCCTGGGCTACAGTGAGATGCGGTCTCATCTCTGCCCACTTAGTTACTTGAGAAGTGGGATGCCTAGGTTCTGCAGTCCCTGCCTTCCCTTCCATACCTAGGATTTCAGTCCAGGCAATTCTAATGGAGCTATGGCAGGAGGGAGCCCCTTATCCCTATTCTTTCAGCCACTGTCTCAGAGCTAGGGACACCATGGTCTTTTGTAGACAGAACTGTCATTTGTGTAGGCAAATAAAGATGACATTTGTACATACAACTCCCCCCAGCAATTTGCAAGGATGCTGCCCTAAGTTAACTGGTAAGGTTTAGCACAGCATTCAGTGTTCATTTATAACACAGCAAACAAAAACTTAGACCCCCTCTGTATGTTACAGATATGCTGCAATAAATGTGTTAATCACAGCACAGATGGCAAGGGTGCTTCACGTGCACCTAATTTAAGACACCATAAAATGGCAAAACAGCCATAAAAATGTTCCGCATATATTGTAGATGATTTTTATGGCTATCTTGAATGGCGCCTTAAATTTAACATGTGACTGGGGTTGACAATTAGCTGATTGTTGGTTCTGGGCCTGGGACTGCTTTGGGTCTGGAACTGGCCCTAATGATGTCCTGGCCCTGTCCAGGCTGATTATTGGCCTCAGTCTGAGGCTGTAGGGGAAGCTGAAAGGCTTCCTTTGCTGGAGACTTTAAACCCCATGCCTAGCAGCTTTGGCTGGGCTGCCAGGTTTGGGGGGATCAGAGGCTTCTGGTGGGGTTTAAAGTCCCAAGCAGGGGGAGCCCTTTGGCTGCCAGGTGTAGGGTTTTGACAATCAGTTGATTGTCAGCCCAGAGATGGCCAGCTGTAGGCCTCAAACCAGATCCAGAGTTGTCTGGGCTGGGGCTAATAATCAGCTGAATGTCAGCTTCAGCTAGGGCTGGGTCCAACAAGCCACTGATTGTTAGCTCTGGCCCTGACAGTCAGCTGTTTGATAGTCCTAGTCCCAGACTACTCCAGGGCTGGTTTGTTGGTCCAGGCCAATTTACTGATGCAGGATTATAATCATAATCCTGGGCTCCTCTGCACCGGCAAGTAGTAATTATGTGGTTGGGATCTGATCCCTGATCCCAGAATCACACTTCCTGCTATTCACATATGGCATGGCAGGAAGTGTGATTGTTGGGATCAGGGATTAGATCCCATTGTACCATTAAATGAATGTGTGCAAGATGATTTAGTAAAATGGGCATATTCAAACATTATACATGTTAATACAGCCAAGTACAGGTCATAGAATAGGACAAAGAATATAGGTTGTTCTTACAAGACAGAGAACTGTATTCTGGAAAGCAGTGATTCAGGCTCATTATAGTTGACCAACTGAATAGGAGGTCCCAGTATGATGCTATGGTCAAAAGGACTAGTATAATCCTTGAATGTATTCACAGGAAATCAGCATACGGAGTTCTTACCAGTTCTGTACATAGCCTTGGTGAAACCATTGCTTTCATCTTGTGACTGGTTCTGGATGCTGAAAAATTAGAGGCGGTTTTGAGAGGAGGAATGATATATGGCTTGCACAGCATGACTTTCAGTGGGAGATTAAAGGAGATTCATTTAGCTTATCAGATAGAAGGTTAAGAGGAGATTTAATCACAGTTTATAAGTACCTACTCAGGGAGAAGATATCCGATAGTCGAGGGCCCTTTAATCTAGTAGACAAAAGCAAAATGAGATTTAGCAGTTGGCAGATGAAGTCAAATTTCAAACTGGAAAAAAACTAAACATTTTTTGCTGTGAGAGCAATTAACTATTGGTAACAGACAGACACAAAAGATGATGTATTCTCCATGTTTTTGATTCTTTAAATCAAAACGTATCTCTTTACACATATACTCTAGCTTAACCACAAGTGACTATGGCCAATGCAAGTATCAGTGAGTGAAATTCTGTGATGTGCGGTCCAAAGGAAACCAGACTTGATTCTGTGACATATTACAGGAATTCAGAGTAGATGATCATAATTAGGGACCTAGTTAATATGCAGTTTCTCAGATTTTGAAGAAACCATGAAATCTGGGATTGTCTGCAAAATCAACAAGAACAAAAAATAAAATACAGGCTCCTCAGTGGGAGCCAGTGGTCCTCGCTGCTGGGAGGGGAAGGTGCCAGATGAAGAGGCAGCCATCAAGATGGCAGCCGCCCTCTTGTTCCTCCTCCCTTCTGGTGTATCTTTGCCAATCAGTGCTGAGGGGCAGGGCTGCTGCAAAATGCCTGTGAAATCAGCTCTGCACGCTGCGAGCAGGCTGTGGAAATCAGCTCTGCATGCTGCCAGCAGGCTGTGGAAAAACCCTTTTCATCACCACTATTTAAGTAGGTCCCTAATTATCACTTGGATGGACCTGATGTGTTAAGTCAACAGGCCCGGATGAGCTGCATTTGAGAGTACCGAAGGATTTGGCTGGTGTCATAGCAGAACCACTGGCATGGCTGTTTGAGCACTCGTGGCACTCGGGTCAGGTCCCGGAGGACTGGAAAAGGGCCATTGTGGTCCTTATTTTCAAGAAGGGCAAGAAGGAGGATCCGAGTAATTATAGGCCAGTCAGTCTCACCTCCATCCTTGGAAAGGTCTTTGAAAAGATTTTGAAGGATCATGTTTGTGGGAGTCCAGTGGGAAAAATAATGCAGCAGGGAAACCAGCATGGATTCATAGCAAGTAGATCGCGCCTGGCCAATCTGGTTTCGTTTTATGACAGGGTCACAAAATGCTTAGATGCAGGAGTAGAGGTGGATGTCATTTTCTTGGATTTTAGCAAGGCCTTCGATACAGTACCTCATCCCATCCTCATAAATCAATTAAGAGGCTGTGACATAGATGCTTAGATGCTTGATGTGGGGCAAGGTGGACACACTTGAAGGGAGAGAGAGGCTGCAAATAGATTTAGACAGACTACAAAAGTGGGCAGATGAGAATAGGATGGGGTTCAACGTAGACAAATGCAGGGTGCTGCACCTTGGGAGAAGGAATCCACAGCGTACATACAGGCTGGGGAGTTCCCGCCTTGAAAGCACAGAGGTGGAAAGGGATCTTGGAGTCATTATTGACTCCAAGATGAACATGAGCCGCCCATGACAGCCAGTGGCCCG